AAAAATAAATCTGAAATGAGTTGACTAATACTCAACAACCCTAATTTCTTCGAGTGTGTCCCCTGACTTCAATACACTTCCGTTTATGCAAAAGTGTCTTTCCAAAATTAGTGGGTGTAAAAATAATGCGGGTAAAAAAGTGTGAAACTAACTTTTGCAGTTGAGCAATGTTGCTGAACAGACGCGCATTCTCTTCTTCGTTTTCATTCATTCCTTCATCTTCTCCTCTCCTCTCTTTCTCCATGACAAACAGCAGGTGTTGTACCTAGAAATGCTGATTAATAACGTTTTGGCAATTCGCTTTAAATTGCTTGTTGATGAATAAGCAAGATTTTCCATGCTATCTTAATCAATCTCAACCACCCACATGAGCAATGGTCTATATCAAGCAGAGTCCGCAAAAAAGAGAAATTTCACAATGTCAGAGACACTCAGCAATAAGCTGACAGAAAGATTGCATGCATTTAACCATAATTTACCTGCTTGGAAACTTTGGCATAATCTCTTTGGTACTTTTCAAGTTCAGCTCGTGTGAAGGCAAGTTCTCTCGTAGTTGCATCTTTAGCACTCTCTAGACGCCGACGAGCTTCGTCAGCTTCCTGAGAAGAAAAACTTGTTTGAAATAAAAAGCTGTCTGACATGTAGAAAATCACTTTAAGTTGCTCTTGAAGCCGGCTATTGTGGTCAAACGTCTTGTCCAGAAGCTCTTTTTGATGGAATAATTGTGGAGCTCGTTCTGAAAATATTGACGCATTTTTTACCTAGAGTTCCATACTACTCCTGCAGAAACTAACAACGTACCCTCGATTTCTTCCACCATTTCGCGGAGGTTCAGCTCCAACTGCTTATTTCGCTCTCGCGCTTCTGCAAGCTCTCCAGTAAGGCGAGCATGTTCTCTGCAAACTTCAGACTTAACAAAGATCAAAGAATAGAATTTATCAACTGAAGGATAAGAAACATATGCGGCTTCGTGAAGAATAAAGACTGACCGGACTATACTTGTTAGAGATTGACCACCTCGAAGTAGTCTGGCGGTCTCTACAGCAGCTGGAGAAAGGACAGCAAGTTCATCTTCACTCACGTTCAGATGGACTAAAATCACCACGTTATGTTATAAAGTAGGAGAAATTCTTTGATAAACAAGCTTACCAGCATGTTTTGACTTCAACAGTTCATTGGCCTTGTTCAACTCCTCCTTGAGCTCGGCGATTTCTTCGTCTGCAAAAGAAACATAATGTTGGACCACATATCCACCAAAAATTAAGCGTTTGACCACAATTTTCGTACCTTTCCTTTCGACCTCCAGATTTCTTAGCCTCTTTTCTTCCTCAATCTCTTCTTGAACAGATGCCAAG